CTGTATTGTCTTCAAGCGGTACGACGGTTTCTCTGAGTAGAGTGGGATTATTGAGGGAGTACCCATAAATTATCTCTAACTCAAACCTCAAAGGGAGGCCATTGATTCCCTTCGGTCACGAAAATTCGCATAGATTAGATGTAATTCCTCGGTGATATTTTTCGTTGAGTTGGGACCTCAGAATAATACTAACCCTGTCACAGGGTTACCCGAAGCATCCAAGAACGCTCGAAGATTTTCCTTTGAATATTTTTTCATTCTTATCCAAAAGATCACAGCAGAGAAAGTGGTTGGTTATTGATTTAAACCTTTTGGATTTGCAACGTCGTTTAATTCCAAGAAGATCAACCAGGTCATTGGCAAGAAGGATATGCTTATTTTGAGGATTGTGGATTTCCAATACTCTTTTCGGAGTAATCATTTCAACCTTCACTCTAGTCACTCCTCCATGTATATTAAAGAGCTTGGCCAAGGCTTTTGAGTGAACAATTACCTTCAGGAATTTTCTTTTTTGTTGGAGTGCCTTGCGCATTGATTACGGAGACTTCATCAGGACGACTTAAATTATATCAAGTGTTGAAAAAAGAACAGCTTACTGGTCTGATATGTTGATATTTTTCGTTGCGTAGCGGCTCTTTGAAGTGAACTGTGTAACCTTTTAAATTTGCAATAACTGTCAAAAGAACCATTTTGATTATAAAAGCAATAGAAATGTTAAACTCTTTTAGTTCCGATCCCGTTTGGGGTTTGCGTGGTCAGGTGGGGTTTGGGGGCAGGCCGCGGAGCGTTAAGACCTTTGAGCAGAGGGCCACAAAGCAACCCAAGTCCCGAAGGGGCAGGTTGTGGAGCGGTAAGCTCTTCGGGTCGGCGGTATGCCAGGAACCGCGAAGCGGCCTAAGTGTCCCAAGCAGACCGCTTATTCATCCAGTAATACAAAATGAATTCAGGTTGAAATGAAGTTTCTCATTACCGACGTGGCCTTGGCAAATTAAAGAAAATTAGATCCGTTTGTCATACAAAGGCTGGGACAGGAGTAACATCGGCTGTATTTTCTTCAAGTGGTAAGGCGGTTTCTCTGAGACCCATAAATTATCTCTGACTCAAATCTCAAAGGGCCCTTCCATTGATTCTCGTCGGTCACGAAAATTCGCATGGATTAGATGTAATTCCTTGCTGATATTTTTCGTCGAGTTGGGACTTCAGAATAATACTAACCCTATCACAGACAGTCATTCCTTATCCAAAAGATCACAGTAGTGAAAGTAGTTGGTTAATGATTTAAACCTTTTGGATTTGCAAACGTTGTTTAATTCCGAGAAGATTAGCCAGATCAGTAGCATGAAGGATATGCGGATATTTTGAGGATTGTGGATTTCCAATACTCCTTTCGGAGTAATCATTTCAACTTTCACTCTAGTCACTCCTCCATGTATCTTAAAGAGCTTGGCTAAGGCTTTTGAGTGAATAATTACCTTCACAAATTTTCTTTTTTGTTGGAGTGCCATGCGCATTGATTACGGAGACTTCACCAGGGCGACTTAAATTAAATAAAGAGGGTTTCCCATACTTTTTTTTATGTCGAACCTCTGCCAAGATTCGATTTGCAGAGCTGTAAACATTATCACGTTCCAGTGAAAAATCCGCTTAATAATATTGATAACGTAAATTGGCCACCGTAAAAAGTTTCTAAAGATGACTTTTTCAACGTTAGCCCTTCGTCATAGCTGAGAGACATGTTACAGCAGTCTAATCCGTACACTTTCTGCCCTACAGGGATTCGCCCGACTGAACTTAACGTTTCTTGTTTTAGGAGTGTTTGACTTCTTTGTTTGACGATGTAAAAAGTCTTACTAACTTGTTTCTAAATGACACAAAAGAGTATCGTTTAAAAAGACTAACTGCTCATTTGCTAAAGTATTTTTGCTCCCAAAAATGTTCTACTAGTCAGATTTAATGGCAAAGGTTTGTTTTCATGGCAGGTCAAAAGAAAAACAGTGCCCAGTAAAATGGATTTTAACTCATGGAACATCTTCTGGGATATATGTTTTGGTGTATTGGTGACTATGATCATTGCAGGAAACATTCTCACCATCTGGATATTCTTCAAACAGAGACACCAAAAACGCTCTTATTCTCTTCTAATAAGCTTGGCTGTTGCCGACTTGTTGGTTGGGATTTTTGCTGTCCCTTTTTATATAAAAGCAGTTGTATCACGGGGATATGCATGGTTCCTTATCTCCATGGTTGCTGACGTTTTTACTGGGATAACGTCCATCTATACTCTTGCTGTAATTTCCTTGGAGAGAATGTGCGCCGTCGGTTGGCCTTTTCGTCACAGAACTGTGAACTATCGTGTTTACGTCTGCGCTATTGGCATACCGTGGATCATAGCGGCAATATTAAGTACTGCACTGATGTTACGGATGCTTGATATAATAGGAGGGGAGGTTTACTTTTATTGTCTTGTTTTAATTCCCGGAATCCCTCTGATAACTATATGTGTAGC